TTTGGAATTGTAGAGCATATAAAGCGCAGAGCTTTCCAATGGGTAATTACATTGAATTACGATAATCATGTTGCAATTTGATTCTTTCAGGCCCAAAAAATTAATTAATAATTAATTCTAATAGCGATAATGTAATAAATATTATTAATGAGCTGAACAATTATCCTTAAAAAAGTAATTGGATATTAATATAGTTGTCTGCCACAAGGATGTTAACTTTTTTCCACTTATCAAGTTTAAATTTTGAATTTAAAAAGTTTCTAAAAGAAAAATATTTCAAAGTGATTTTAAGTGTGAATACAAATTAAAGTCAGTAACGAAGGAGAGAGGGAGAAAAAGTTAGTACATATGCACTACAAATATAATGAATCTCTTATATATTTGGGTGTACAAACAGAAACTAAAATAAAAAAATAAAAAAAAATTTCTTTTTCCGTGGATTATTATTCACTAAGAGGCGCTTGGTGTTGGTCGTCCTGCAAGCTATTATTCAATTTTTTTTTTTGGCAACAAAAGAAAAAAAGCAAAAAAATAATAGAAATGATGGCAAAAAAATATGAGTTGGTAGCTAGTTCACTTGTGGGACCAGGAGTTAAGTGGTGCAGAGTGTGAGTTTCTAAGAGAACGAGTTGTGCAAACAAATGATTGGAGAATGAGGTACAAAAGCACCAAGACAAGCATCGCTGGTTTTGGAGTTGCACTTGCATGTTTGGAGAGAATAATTAGCCCCACAAGGCACAAACCAAATAAGCATTGGAGAGTGGAGACCATGCTATACCTTTGTGTTTCGTGACTATACTCCTTATGTTCCTTCTGCTTTACTCACAAGCCATATTCCTTCTGGAAACAATCATGCACATGAATAATCTCCATGCCTCTTTTTTTTTGTCTTTTTCCTTCTTTTAAGTTTTCAAACTTTCATTACTCATAAGAGCCTTTTGGAACTGTTCGATATGTTGATGTATCACATGGATGAGACATCCATATCACTGTATTAAATTAATTATATACTCACCAAATTCAATTTATATAATATGGAACTGGCGTTCCAAACATTGGTATTCAAGATAGTAGATTATGTTACATGCTACCTGAAAATAATTTAGTCAGACATCTTTTTTCCTTTACATTCTTTCCATTTATATTTCTATACATGCATGATTGATCAGATTAGGATAACTTAAAGGGTTTGTAATTAGACTTTGTTTTGTTTTGGAAATGTAATTAGACTTTATCGTATATCGAACACTCGTCCCATTAAATATATAAGCACTAGCATAAATTTAAGTCAAACAATGTTATTGATATAAAACTCTACACTTGATAATCTTGCCAACTATACTCGACATAACTTAGTAGTTACTCAAGAAATAAAGAGACAAATAAAGAATAATATCAGAGCATGTATTTGAGTAACGATTTTAAGCGGAATATCTCATTCTTATTATCTAATTAACCATTCATTGTTGCTGCACATATTTAAATACAATCAAAAAAGATGTCATATGACAAAACTTTATCATGGGGTTATCTGAATAGTGCTCCACCACGAGGGATCAGTAGCAAAGGACCAATAACTAGAATAATGTAGTAATGTGACATCCACATAAAAAGATTCTTAAGTTTTTAGGTTGAATTGGTTCTTTATATGGTATCAGAGTTTCAGTATACTGGGTTCGATTTTCGCCGCCCCTAATTTTCTTTGTCATCCACCTTTCAAGTCCAATGAGCTCTCTTGTGAGGAGACATATTAGAGATATATAAAATCATTAATGTAGCATCACCCAATACTTTAAACTTTTAGATTAAATTGACGTTTTACAAACATATTTCATAATAATGTAAGAATGTGACATCCATATAAAAACATATTTCGTAACAGTTATAACATTTTTGGTATAAGTGGTTTTTCATTTTTGTGTCCTCGAAGTGTACAATAATAACTTTTTTTCATATTCTAATCATAAATAAGATGTTTTGGACCCATGGGCCCCAAGTCTGGGCAAGATGAGCCTAGCCCACCATTCAGATAGGGGTGTCAAAACATATTATGATTCGCAAGTCAACTTATGATATCATATGAAAATTCAGGTTCAGGTTTACCAGTAAAAAAATTTATGTCCTGTTCGTGTTGGAAAAACATGACACACAACAAATTTGTGTCGTGTCGCGTGTCGTATCGTCTCAAAACGAATTCGACCCATTTTTTTTAACTTTTTTTTTTATATTTCAACCCATTTTTTTGGTCAATTACCATTTTTACCCATAATTTGTGTGTCATTCGTGTCATTTCAACTCACAAAATTTGCGGATCGTTTCATGTTGAAAATTTTAACACTAATAAAAATTTGTGTTATATTCATGTCGTGTAAAGTTCGTATCATGTTGTGTTAACCCGTTTTGACACCCCTTATATAAGAATCCCTTTATAAATAAAGGGTTCAACCTCTAGAACTCTAATTCTTATTTGTTGTCACTTTGAGCACAAATGCACCTCCTATGGCTTCTTGCCTTTCATCTATGCATATTGATTTTTCATTACCTGCAGCTGTCTCCTCCATAGAAATTGTTAACTCTCAGATCCGACATCAACCTTTTATCCTCGTAAATCAAATATAAGGAATGAAAGACTCCAAAGAAAAAAAATAAAATCAAAAGGTTTTATTAGAATAAATAACACAATAAATGGGTAAAATAGAAGTAGAAGTCAATATATAAAGGGCTTTATGATTCTCATGTTACATGAGAAGGGAATTCTCATGTCGTAGAGATAATAAGTATGTGGGACCCATATATTAAAAAAAGTCATGTGTGGAATCCATATCAGCACAGAAATCGAAGAGTGTGTAGGAAAATTTTAATTATCATGTTACATAAAAATTATAAAACCCATATATAAATATGGGATGCCTATGTCCTCTTGTGTTTTTTTTTTTTCTTAATAAAGAATTAAATACGAAAGGGATGTATGAGCCAGCTTTGATCTTTTGGGGTTCATTTTGGTTGATGCAGTGCACGGCTGAGCAGAAGAAAATAAATGTGGAGTGGGATAGGATCCTTCCTTGGGAAGGGTAACTCATTAGAGCTCTATCGTCCTCTCAATTAAAAGATAAGGCAATGTGAGAAACATTTGGTCCCCACAAAAGGACTCAACTAAACGCACGCCATTAATGTTAATTACATCATACCAAACTCTTGAAAAGCTAAAGCCTACCAAAAACTTCAAACCACAGGTTGAAATACTTGGAATTTTGATTATATCTGACCCCCTTTTACATAGTAATTTTTGGTTTTGTTAAGTCCTAAGAAAACTTTATGGTGAACTACAATTAGTTATTCGAAGAATTTTGATACAAATTGGTTGTGACATATGATCTTACATGTAGTTGCCATATTTGTTGCTTAAATTAAAATTGTGAGACAAAATGTATGAATAGTATATTAGTCGTGATTGATCAGGGACTTTCTGTTAAGGAGTATTTTGATAACTTATTTGTAGATAAATCAATAAATAAATTGAAGGAGTTAACAATTATTTTGATAACTTAGTTGCCATATGATCATACAATTATTAAATTGGTTATACAATTCTAAATAAATCAATAAAATAAACTGAACAACCACTACTTTAATTGATTATTTAGCTCTTATCTGCCTTGAATAAGTTAACAAATTACTTCTAAACTCCAAGTCTCCCTTGCTTATAATATTTATTAAAAGTAGGTGACATTTCTTATCAAACATGAGATTATCTTCAAATTACATATATATTTTAATCACTTAACAAGTGAGAGAAAAGATCATTAGCACCGACATCCAAATAGTCCCAAAACATTCCTTAAAGCCAAACTACATAAAGAAAAAGATTATAAGAAAAAAAAAAATACCCAGAGAATCTATTTTCTTACTTATATAGGTCATTTCTAGAGTAAGATTAGTTCTCTTTACCTTCATTTCTTCATTGATAGCATTGGTCTACTTGAATAACAATGAGAGAACACTATAACTATCTAGCATTGACTATTAATATGACAGCACATAAAATTGTGAAATTTAAAAAAGGTAAAAAGTTCATATCTTTGAATAAAGTTGGTGATTCCATGATGCACAGCCAATACATGCCTTTGATGTTACTCAACTAAAGACATACAGCATGTTTAACCCAAAAAAATAAAGGCAATGTTGGTAGCCTATAACATCAATGTACTTTTATTTTTCTCTATCTGCTTCTATACAAGAAGATTTTTTTAGTGAACTCAATCTTAATTATCTCTTTAAAGCGAGTTGACTGTCTTCGGTATTCTTATAAACTTCAACTTTTTGAGCTGGCTATTGGACTAATTCGGAGTGCAGGGTAGATCAAGAATAAAAATATTTAAACTTCTCTCAAAGATGACATATGAGGATCGAATCAAAACCCTTTTTTTTCACCTTGCTACCAACTGAGCTACCATCATTTGGTATAGAAGAAGGGGTTACATCTCCAACAAATGTTATAAAATATATTAATAAATTTATATAAAAAATACATTGTAAAATTCACCAAATCATAAAAAGGTCAAATTCTATAAACACCACACGTGCACATGCGAGTGGACATGGATCAACTCTCATTTGTGGACTAAGGAATAATAATAAAACAGAGCATTGTGTTAGACAAGTAGGCCAAATGACACAAATTCTTCTCTGTCAAGGGAAGTTCATTAAGGACTTACCCATAGAACATGTTTCGCTTCTTGCAAAGGTCTTTTCTTTTCTTTTATTGTTTTTTATTTTTCACTTTTCAGAGGCATTTATTTTCACCATTTATGGCTCCCACATGGTACATGTCATGTACTCTGTTTTCGCATCACCATTCACCACACATTACTATGCCAACAAGAAATATACATAAAAAAGAGTTTCATCTTTTTACTATAATCAATTGCTCCCATTTCTATATTATAATTCAATAACTTAATAGCACCGTTTGGTTTTTTAATGGGAAAGTAGATAACTTGTTTTTTCTTGTTTCATCTTTGGCCCCTCTAAGAGATTGTGTTGGTCACTCTGCTGTTGATGCCAGATGGTGAAGAAAATGAGGTCTGATTTGGGTCCATTTTCCCTGCAAAAGCACAACCATGTTTGTGTTAAGTTTGCAGCCTCAATTTTCTTGGTGGGTCTTGCTTTTCGTCTTCTCTTATGGGATTCATTCAACTTTTCATCAATGGTAGAGACACCTTCTCCTCTTGCAGAGGAAAAAGCAGAGTCCCCTGTTTTTTCTTTTCCCCTTCAGGAATCTGATTCTGTTGAGTTTCCAGGAAACAACCAGAGCCAAACCTCTAACGAAGGTAAGGGACTTAACTTTGCTTGTGGTGAAAAACTTGTTCGCTAGGTACATGCATGAACTTGGAAGTTTTATTTGAATTTTCAAGCTTCAAACATGTCTATGGAAAAAAATAAAAAATAAAAATGATCCATTTCTGCTTCTTTCTTTTAATTTCAGTTGTTTGGGACCATTTTAATTTGGTGGGATGTCATGGAATATACCAAGGCTTTCTTGATTCTAGATTTTGGAAACTGGTGCTCTTCTCCATCAAATCTGCAAATAAATATTAAAAAAGAAATTTAACAATGGACGGTTCAGAAGCCAAATCATATAAAACAACTAGTTAATGGAGAGTTCAAATGTTGATATTTCAAAATAACTAGTTTATCAGATTGCTTGATAATCCTCTATTCTGTATTTCTGCATTTGATAATTTATCATTTTGAAGCACTTAGTTATCAACCATTGAAATATAGACAAGGGAAGAAAAAAAAGAGAGACCACCTTATTGCATAGTTGAAACTATTCAAATCTATGACTTCTTTTACTCTTTCTTACTTTGTTCATTGTTTTTCTTCTTCTTCTTCTTGTTTACTTTATTTTATTTTACTGAAAAGGCATAATCATGAATCTGAGATAAATTTTGAGTAATGTCAAGTGTTTTTGTTGGTGTTTAACTGGTAATGGTTTTGTGCATTACAAATATTTAGCTGCAGAAAAATGTGATCTTTTCGTGGGAGATTGGGTGCCAGACCTATCTGGTCCAGTGTACACTAATGAGAGCTGTCATGTGATTGAACATCATCAAAATTGTATGAAGAATGGACGTCCTGATTCAGGGTACCTTCACTGGAGGTGGAACCCAAGAGACTGTGAATTACCCAAGTTCAATCCAAAGAAGTTTCTTAATCTTATGAGACATAAATCAATGGCCTTTATTGGTGATTCCATCTCCCGCAACCATGTGCAGTCCCTACTTTGCATTCTCTCACAGGTATTGTAAACTTTTTAAGTCTGATAACAAATTTGCAACTTTGATATGGTTGACCTTTTTGTCTGAAAGATTTTGTTCTTGATAAGTTCTGAGTATGTATGCATTTTTTCCTTACTCAGTTTTGAAGATACTTGTGTATTTGTGTTCACTCTATTTTCTTTGGCTTGCCTATTTTTAAGAAATCGGTATGACTATATCTTTCTTGGTTTTTTCTATGTATTTAAATATAGTTTAAACCAAGATTCCAATAATTTAAAATGAGACCATGTGATTGTGTAATATGAACTTACTAGTTGTACATATATTGTTTATTGAGTTTCTTGTCCATTGATCATGAAACATTGTCAAAATCAATCATCTAATAGTTGTTTATATAGGTTCCAACAGCTTGCATTGCATGTCATTTTATGGGTAATCCTTGTCATTGTTAATAAAGCTGTTGATTCCATTTGTGGAAGACAGCTGGTGCTTATATTATATGGTTGGTCCACTGCCTTCAAATAGTTGTGTCTTTTCCCAAGCAGGTTTACCTACCTTGAATATATGAGAGACTTGTATACATACTTTCATAAAATAGGCCTTAAATATTAGCTTTATGATAATTAGTGTGAATTTTTGATATTTTGCTTTATATGAAAGCAAACTGAACTTATTGAATTGCTTCTTTCACGCATTGGTATGTTTCTTGTATTCATTAGTGTCACAAGCTTTGTCCCCACAAACATTACTACATCAAATTCCAGTTATTTTTATTCTGCAGGTGGAACCAGCTACTGAGGTCTACCATGACAAGGAATATAGATCAAAGATATGGAAATTTCCTTCTCACAACTTCACACTCTCAGTAATCTGGACCCCTTTCCTTATCAAAGCAGCTATATTTGAGGACATGAATGGTGTTACCTCTTCAGAGATACAGCTTTATCTTGACAGTCTCGACAACCTCTGGACCAATCAGTATAAGAACTTTGATTATGTTGTAATTGGTGGTGGAAAATGGTTTCTCAAGACTGCAATATACCATGAAAATAACACAGTCACAGGCTGCCATTACTGCCCCGGAAAGAATTTAACAGAACTAGGATTTGACTATGCATACCGCAAAGCACTACAAGAGGTTTTTAACTTCTTCACAAACTCAAACCACAAAGCGACTGTTTTCTTCAGAACCACCACACCAGACCACTTTGAGAATGGGGAATGGTTCAGTGGAGGGTATTGTAATAGAACTGTACCCTTCAAAGAGGGTCAGATAGATATGATAGATGTAGATTCCATCATGCGAAGTATTGAAGTTGAAGAGTTTGAGAAGGCTGCTTTTATAGGATCTGACAAAGGGGTGAACTTGAAACTTTTGGACACAACTCTCCTTTCACTGTTGAGACCAGATGGACATCCTGGACCTTACCGGCAGTTCCAGCCATTTGCAAAGGATAAGAATGCTAAAGTTCAGAATGATTGTCTTCATTGGTGTTTGCCAGGACCAATTGACTCATGGAACGACATAGTAATGGAAATGCTAGTCAATGCTTAATAGTGTCAGAAATCAACGATATCAATAATCTGTCACTGGATTACCAAGGTTTGAAGCTGGTTACAATTATGACCATTTAAAATTCTGGATTTTTTCTTACACGGTTGATTCTTCCTATACCTTTATTAGTTTGCAGGAGGCAGTTTTATACCCAAAGCCATTAGGATGAGCTCCATTCTGTACATGGAACTGTATATTGTAATCAAAGCTTGCAAAGCACAAATGAGAGGACATGTAATCAGTTTTTTTACCAGAACAAAGATGTCAAACTTAGCATTCAAGTATAAACTCATTTCATTTCCTTTTCACCATATTTTTATAAGGATTATATGCCAATTTTCTTTTATACTTTTTTATTAGAAATTTCTTTTATACTTAGATAAAGAAAAAAAAGTCTAAGCATTGAGTTATGTCGAAGCTAGTGTACTTCAGTGAAGTGCAAAGACCGGTGCAAATTTCACTATTCATGTACTACAACCGAGTTTCTTGAAAACCTTCATAACATCAAGGTTCATAGGAGGAACTAGAAAAAAAAAAAATTCGCAACTTTGATATGGTAAAAACATGCAAATTTCACTATTCATGTACTACAACTGAACATTGACACATTTCATGTGTTGTATAAAACATGCACGAGATGGCATTCTTGTGTATTGCATTAACATTCATACTCGTTACCTTATTGCAAACTGTATTTACAACCGGTGATTGTGTTACTGTTGAATGAAATCCAATTTGTAAATAAAACACATTGCAGAACCATTAGCAGATTACTACTACCCTAAATGCTCTCAATATCCAAAAATGTGTAGCATTTCTATTTTATAAGAGACATGTTGGACACCATATGCTTGAAGCTAAGTTGATCACACATGCAAGACACAAAGATCAGTCTTTCTTAGACTTAAATATTACAAGCCATCCCTTTAAGATATATAACAGTCAATCAACCCAAGCATTAAGCAGAGAAAGGAGATAATTTTGGCATAATAGACTGGAAATTGATAAGCAGAGAATTTTTCCATCAAAAAATGCGAGCTTTAATAATAAATTGATAAGGATAAAAGAAAAACAGATGATTAGAAACCACATTAAACATCTGCACTTGACATTGTACAGACAAGTATTATTATCCCTCTGAAATGTGGAACCAGTTTTCAAGAACTTGTGTAGGTTAGTTCTAAACCAGGGTCCAAGATCCAGAGTCCAGACTTCATTCAGAATCTAAATATTATTAACTAGAAAGAGCATGTCTTGCAAAACAGTATACAGAGCTCATAAACCAATGTTTAGATGACATCACAATGCAAACTTCTAAGACATCTTTTCTCCTACTTGGTTGCATGTTGATTTTCATATTTCCCCTGGTCTGGTTTAAGGAAAGGATCCTGTAAAGCACAATAAAAGAAGTAAATTACAATCACCCAACAATGAAAAAGCACAACATAAGTGGATATGATAGACATAACTCAACCTCAAAATATTAGGACAAACCATTGAAAAAGTAAAATGTATAAATGGTTTTTACTATTGGTTTTTGATGGATGATAAATTACTTATAAACCATTTAGGGAGTAATTACTCGTTTTTAAAAAAATAAAACTATGTTAACTAATACTATAGCTAGGACATTAATCATCTCAGTAGAAGCTCTTAATCAATAATGAGAAACAGGCCACTCCACTCAAATCCCATTATCAAGATCAATCACAGGCTTTCAATATTTCTTTGGAGGAAACCCTAACCTTTGAGGGCGAACAAATTAACTTTCATAATAAATGCCCCAAACAAAAAAACGGTGACCTAAATTTCAGTTTCATTCACAAATCAAATGGAATTAAATGAATATAATCAATAATAGGTAACATAATGAAAACTGGCCAAATAACAGATTGATTAAATTTTTGAAAACCCCAGATCATGAATCAGCACCAAAATTCATAAAATCCAATCAAAATCGCTACTTTTGAACAAATCTAGAACAAGCGAAATAGCCGGACAAAGGGGGTCAGAAAGGGCAGGGATTTGGAGGTAGGAAAAAAGGAATTTACATTCTTGACGAAGATCAAGTTAGCGGCGGCGACGGTGGCGACTACACCGCCGAGGATAGCCACCGGGCCGGTAAGAAGACTCCACTTCCGATAGATCATCTTCTTCTTCGTCTCTTTCACTAATTCTCTTTCTCTCTCTCTCGGGTTCCTGTTTTCCCAAATAAAATCAAAATCAGCAATATAATAAGCCCCACTTTCTGTGACCCAACAAGCCCATATTTTTATTTTTTAGATAAAAAATAAAATTTATATTATATATGGAGCGGATTTGATCATTTGATGATATATATATGGCGTGGATCATGTTAAAGTTTTATTTGATTATATATAAAAATTTTGTATCCAGTGAGGTGTAATTAAAATTTAATATATTTATACATGAGATAAGATATTGTTATTACCAAATAATATAATGTTACTATCAATGTTACTACTAGGGATAAAATTGGGTCGGGCCGGGCCGGTCTATAGGGGCCTACGTAGGGGTGTGCAAAAAAACTGGTTCACTTGCCCTGCCCTTGATCCGACCTTGACCCGACCCATAAATACCCATATTTTTTGAACTGGTTTAAATACTGACCCACTTTTATTTGGGTCAGTTTTAGACCTGACTCGTTTTAATATTGACCCACTGACCCAAAACTTGACCCATACCCATTATGTGAAAAAAAAAATCACAATTATATTAAAAGAAAAGTTTTAACGTAAAACAATTACGTCAAAAATTTTTATGGAAAATATTTTCATAAAAATTTTCGCAAAAATTTTTGAAGAAAAATATTTTCTTCAAAATTTGTGACTAAAAACATATCGGTAAAAAAATTTGACGGAATATTTTTTTTGTCAAATTTTTTTACGGAATCTAAATTTCGTCAAAATATTTCACAAAAAAATATATTCATAAAAACTTTCGACGAAATACATTTTCATCGAAATTCTTTAACAGAAAAAAATTTCATCAAAATTCTTTACAGATTTCAAATTTCGCCGAAAGTTTTCGACGGAAACATTTTCGTTAAACTTTTTGATAAAAAAAAATTTCGTCGAAATTTTTAGCGAAACACATTTCTATCAAAAAATTTCGACTAAATATTTTCGTCAAGTTTTTTGATAAAGCATATATCCATCAAAATTTTTAACGGAACACATTTCTGTAAAAAAAATTCGAAAATTTTTTTGAGAAAAATATTTCGATAAGAAGTTTTTACAGAAAAAATATTTTGTCTAAATTCTTTAGAGAATCTAAATTTCGTCGAAAGTTCAAATGAAACATTTTCCTCAAAACAATTTCCATTGAAAATTTCCACGAAACACATTTCCATCAAAAAATTTCGACGGCAAAAAATTTCATTAAAATTCTTTACAGATTTCAATTTTCGGCGAAAAATTTCGACAAAAATATTTTCGTCATCAAAAAATTTTGACGGCAAAAAATTTCATCAAAATTTTTTAGAGATTTCAAATTTTAGCGAAAGTTTTCGACGAAAACATTTTCGTCATCAAAAAATTTTGACGGCAAAAAATATCGACGACAAAAACTTCATCAAAATTCTTTACAGATTTCAAATTTCGGCGAAAGTTTTCGACGAAAATATTTTCGTCATTAAAAAATTTTGACAGCAAAAAATTTAATCAAAATTCTTTACAGATTTCAAATTTTGGCGAAAATTTTCGACGAAAACATTTTTGTCATCAAAAAATTTTGACGGCAAAAAAATCATCAAAATTCTTTACAGATTTCAAATTTCGGCGAAAATTTTCGTTAAATTTTTCGTCGAATTTTTTAGCGAAACACATTTCCATCGAAAATTTTCAACTAAATATTTTCGTCAAGTTTTTTGATAAAAAATTTCCATCAAAATTTTCAATGAAACACATTTCTATCAAAAAAATTCCGTAAATTTTTTTGACAAAAAAAACATTTTGACGAAAAAAATATTCTGTCAAAATTCTTTAGAGAATCTAAATTTCATCGAAAGTTTCAAATGAAACATTTCCCTCGAAATAATTTCCGTCAAAATTTTTGTCAGAACACATTCCCATCAAAATTTTGAACGAAAAATATTCCGTCAATTTTTTGGCAAAATTCTTTTTTCGTTTAAAACATTTGATGGAAGAAATCATTTTCGTCAAAACTGTTGACGGAAACTAAATTTCAATAGAAATTTTTTTTTTGTAAAAATTTCGACGAAAAAATAATTTTGTGACGAAATTTTCGTTTTTTGCAACGTAAAAATTTCGACAAAATTTTGTGAGAAAACCAAGTCAAAAACGGGTCAAGTCAGATTTGACCCAGTTCAGAAACCAGGTCAGATCCTAACTGGTTCTGAACTAGTTCAACAAAATCCAATCCAAGTCAGACCTGACTTGGATCAAATTAAAGCGGGTCGGGTCAAAATACCTGACCTATAAAAACCAAGTTGGGTCGAGTCGGACAAAAACCTGACCCGACCTGACCCATGCACAACCCTAGGCCTACGGCTCGGCCTATATCAGGCCAGACTTGACCTAGTATATTTTGTATAATAGCCGGGCCTATAAGCCTGTAGGCTGGCCTATATTGTACTATTTATTTTAAATAAAATAAAATAGAGTAAGAATGCCTTGAAGAAAAAACAAAAGATATAAATTTAATCAATTGCAATTATTTATAACTTAATTATATTTGATTATATTTTAATAGAAATCTTATTTTATTTCTTATATAGGAGGAACCAACATCTCAACATGTTAGATTGTGTATATCTCAACATGTTAGATTGTGTATAAGAATATATTAAAAGATTTTTGGGAGAGGTTATACTTACTACAAGCATCACGATGTGTTTGTTGGATTCATGTAGTTATTTTAATTTACATAGTATGGATTCGTTTGGTGGATTTGATGAAATATATGTTATCTAGTTTAAGCATTTTGCTTTTGAAAATGACTTAAATGCATATTGTATAAGTTTTGTTATGATTCATGATTCTGTTTGGACGTTGAAATTATGATTTTTGGTATAGCAACAGAATTTAAGTACTTTGTAAAGTTGATTCATGGTTCTACTTGAAAGTTAAAAATTAACAGGCTAATGGGTCAAGTCAGGCCATTTGTTTTTTTTATAAACGGGCTAAGCCAGGCTAACAGTTAGACTCATAATAGGCTTGGGCTAGGCCAAATTGAAAATTTTTTACGTAGGCTTGGGCTTTTCGGA